ATACATGCACACACGCACCTCACACGTACATACTATGCACACATACATATAGGCACATGCATATTTACATATGCACACATATGTACACACATGCACACCTCACATGCACGTACATAAACATACACATACATATATGCATGCACACCTATGCACACACACACACCTCACATGTACATGCATACACACAAGCACACACGTGCACACACCTCACATGTACATACATACACATACATATAGATACATGCACACACATATACGTGCACACATATGCTCACATATACATACCTCACATGTACACACACACACATGCATACACCCCTTACACACATACACATGCACACACATGCACACACATATACACACATGGATAAATATTTACCCGGCACATTTCCTGTCAAAGCCTGTTGCTTCCCTTGGCTCTCCACATTGCAGCTGTTGCCTTTCTTTCCTTTAATCTTTTTTCTAAGAAATCAGGTTTTGTTTTGTTTGTTCAATTTATTTTGCATTACAAAAATTTGGAGCTTATTTTAGGCAATAATATTTTTCATAATTTATGAAAAAACATATGATCCTTGCTTTAAATGGTCCAAACCTATGAACTGCCAGATCTGGGCATATTGCCTGGTGCAGCGAGAACAACACAGGCTTTGCAGTTAGACAGACACAGTCTCGAATCCCTTCTTCATTCTTACTTGCCTGAGGGCTTGGGCCGATAACCTCTGTGAATTTCAGTTTCCTTCTCTGATAAATGGGATGGCAATAACCACCTCCTAAAGGTTAAGTGAAGGATTAGATGAGAAACGTCAATGTGTGTGTGAAAGCTCCTGGTCTAAGCAGGTGCTTAATCAAGGCTGATCCACACCTGAATAATCTCCATGTCTTCTTAGGAGAAGATCTGGTCTGCACACAACCTTTTCAGAAATGCATTTTACACACACAGATGTGCATACACAGTACACATATGTACAGAGAGGCCAGGAAATCTCAGCAAGGATTTGATCCTGCAGACCAATGTCCTTTTTGTATCGTGTCTCTGGCTTGTAGCTTTTGGCTCCATGCTACCCTCTCCACCCTGACCCATACAGGCTCCTTTTGCCCTTAGTCTAAGTAAGTGGTTCTCAACTTTCAGGTGCTTTGGACTCATGTGAAGGAGCAGTTCAAACACAGCCTGTGGGGCCCGTCCCAAGAGTTTCTGAGCCACTAGGTCTGGGATGCTCCTGAGAACATGCATTTCTAGCACAGTCCCATGTGGTGCTGATGCTGAGGTCTGAGGACCACACTCTGAGAGCCTCTGCTCTGCATGCTCCAACCCGACTCTGGACTCCTTAGAACTGTACACTGGAGTTCCGGGGGTGCACTAACCATCCCTGTGGAAAACGGGCTTTTCTTTCCTTAAATATTGCATTCAATAACCAGACCTTCAGTTTTCTCATTTATAGAGGACCTAATGAGTTGTTTTTCATAAATGGAGTACGAAGCGTGGTTTTAGCTGCCTTGCACCTTGAAGGCATCTTAAAGCTTGGAAATTATTTCGAATGGCTTGCTAACCCTGAAAGGGTTTAAAAAAACAGAAACCAATTTGGAAAGGGTTAATACTGGTGGGAAAGTGGTAGAGAAACTTTGTCTCTCTGTCCCTTTGTTCCTTCATCCCTTCGTTTCTTTCACCACCAGACTCAGTCCTGTCCCTCCCACTCACTAGCTCGTGCCTAACCACCTAGGGCCTCAGTATTTTCCTCTGTGAGAGCAGGGGATTGAGTTCGAGAATCTTTGTTCTGATTTCTTTCTTTTTCTACTTCTGAAAGCCAGAGGTCCCTCTACGAAAAGCACTGGGAGAACGAAATGATTTCTTGATTTTCACCAAATGAAAGGTGCCTGGACTCTGGGTGGGGGTAAGCTAAAATAGAGGGTGCTGACCAGGCCCGGTTTCTCACACCTGTAATCCCAGCACTTTGGGAGGCTGAGGCAGGTGGATCACCTGAGGTCAGGAGTTTGAGACCAGCCTGGCCAACATAGTGAAACTATGTTTCTACTAAAAATACAAAAATTAGCCAGGCATGGTGGCACACACCTGTAATCCCAGGTACCCAGAAGGCTGAGGCAGGAGAATTGCTTGAACCTGGGAGGTGGAGGTTGCAGTGAGCCAAGATCATGCCACTGCACTCCAGCCTGGGTGACAAAGTGAGACTCTGTCTCAAAAAAAAAAAAAAAAAAAAAAAAAAAAGGAGGGCATCGAGATGCGGCCCTGGAGCTACCCTCAGGCCTCCCCCTGTGGGTTCCACGTGGCTCTCTCCCCACTGGCCCACCACCGTATTTGTTTGTTTTACTTCCTCACTTGAACCCTGTACCCCAGCCCAGGGAACCCCTCCCTGCTCCTCTCTATTTCCTTCCCAGGGCAGCATTCTGCATTTACCCTCAAACATCTGGAACTTTGCACAATAATTGCAACTATTACTGAGAACTCAGAATACTTTCTGAGTCCAAGCCCATCTTGGGGCTCTGCCCACACAGGCTGGCCCTTTAGTGTAAATCAACACCTGAGTTTACCTGTCTATCCCCACCCCTTAAAGACACTTTGTGTGTTATATTTCTTTGGTATCTCCATTTCTGCTCAATACGCCAAGCCTTTCACTGTGCAGAGGTATTCCCTCTGGGTCATGTGGCTCTCAGCAGAGTGACTCAGGATGCTTGGAAAAGCCTGACATGGCCAATAGTGCCTTATACTAAATCATATTCTCAATCAATATTTGTTGAATGAATTGAAATTCAGATTAGTATTCAGGCACTTAATTAAATCAATTTATTTTCCAAGGCAAAACAACCTCCTAAAATTCTTTCATGGATGCACATTCTCTCTGCAAATCATGTTGTTACATATCATAGAGGAAAAAATCTTTTATATGGCATACTTTTTTTTTGATATGAAATCATACATGTATACTTAGAGTCACTTGAAAGTTGAGGGCTTCTGAACATGAAACAGTTCGTGTCCAAGTAACTTTCTGCAGTTTTCCTGTGAAAAAGTTCAGGTTTTCCCTTGCAATGGGCTAACCAGCTGGATGTGCCGCCTGGAAGTGCTACCTGTCTCATCTCAGTTGCAAAACCAAGGCACTGGGGAGAGGAAGTGAGATCCCTTTTAACTCTACATTTACTTTTCTCCACATTTTTGGGGTCAATTTGTAAATATTGGGCCTGTGCCTTTTTAAAACATGCATTACCTTCTTATTTTTCAAATCCCAAGTCTACCATCAGAGAAGAATACTGTATTCATGGACAGGGTGCTGAAAGTGTGGAAAGATCTGTAAAAGTGTCAGGGAGCAAGTGTCCTGCGTGGCACTCTGTTCTCGGTGCATCTGAAGGTAGCAGACCTTCCTCTCTCTGCAAACCCTCAGCTCCAGCCTGAACAGGGTTGTGAAGGTATTGGAAGGTGTCCCCTCACCATCAGCAATGATGCAAAGTTACACAGCAAAGGAACCTTCCAGAACTGTGAATTGGACATGATAGGAATGCCTGGTGCTGAGCTTAATTCTAGATCATTTAAAATGTAAGGGTTCTTTGCAACCCTGGATATTTTCACCATCAAAGTGTGTGAGTGGCGGGGGGCTGGAACGTAGATTCAGATTTCTTTCTGGGACTTTTCTTTTTAGGATCTGTTTAGATTTGTTTAGTGTTTATAGGATAAAAGAAAAGGAACTCTCCTCAAAGAAAAGACACTCTTTACTTCCCACATAAAGTCTAATTTTGCAAGTTTCTCCTTTTACATTCCTTGGACTCTTCTGCCATACCCTTGGTGAAACAATATGAAAATTTAAGATTTCTCTGCAGCCTGCCACAAAAATAACTGAGCACTATCTAGTTATTAATACATTTGAGGGGCAAAGCTCTACACCTGTATTTTTCTCTGGGTGCCTGAAACTCAACCATTTCTTTGGGCTGTGGTGACAGTAGCACTTGTCTAGGGTGCTGTAAAGAGACACAATTACTTCTGGGAGCTGTGGCAGAGGCAAGCACTGAAACATGAGGGAGCTGGGTCAGTCCCCAATTCCCAGCACCTGGTAGGGAGAGGACAGGGCATGAAACAGCAAAGGCAGGAGGCAAACAGCACTGATCACACAGCTCTGCCAAGTGCAGAGCTATTCCTGTGGGCTCCGTTTGTCTGCAAACATTGATAAGAAGTTAAACTAAAACTAGACCACTTAAAACATTTAAAAAATCTTACATTTGTTATTTTTTGGTAGGTGGCTATGCTTGGGAAGGAAATTGCAAACAGGATTTTTCTTTCAGAAAACGTGAACATCAAACATCCATCTCCCCTTCACAGGTAGCAGTTAGCCATTGTAGATATCTGCACACACCCCCACAGTGTGCCTAGTGTGGCAAAGGACTCTGGGCTTTGATGGCCGAGGACCTGGCTGGGAAAACTCCCTCACCTCTGACTTTTATTGGGTGAATCACTTAACCTGTGTTTCGCTTGCTGCATCCTAGGAAGCAGACATTACCTGCTTCTCAGGTGTGCCCGAGAGTGACGGGAGACGGCACAGGCGAAGGTCTCTGGTACAGGTAAACAGTAAGTGCAGGTGTCCTCGCTGCTCTGCAGGTGCTGTAGAGTCATGTCCTGTGGCTCCCATTTGCCCTGGCATCCCTACCCCATCCCCAGTTTGTAAACTGTCTCCAAGGACTGACCTTCCTGTGCACAACTGAACTCTGTTCAGAGAAAACAGATTGTGTGAACACGTTCTGCCTCTGATCTAACACCTTTGGAAAGCAGGTCTTTCTATACCAACATGGGAATGGGATTGTGCCTCCCTGAGAAACTTCCCCTGGTCCCTTTGGGGCTGATTTCTGCTGATTGAGTGGGGGGCGTTCAGCATCGCTCCCTTGGTCTTCCACCCAGGGGCGCTAGCAGCTCTCATCTCTCGCACCTGTCCAGTGCACGGCACCTCCTGCTTAATTTAGGGCAGATCCATTTACCCTTCATAAGTCAGTCCCGACCACAAGCTTACCTGAGAGTGGACTTCCCTCTGCAGGGAAACGCTCAGGGAGGCCGGCGCAGCTTCAGGGCCAGGAGGACGGCCCCTTGTACATCCCCCTGAACTTCTGGCTGCTCCGGGGTCTCGGCTCCTGCTTCTCCGGTATTGCTCCTAAGTGGGCTGTGATATTCCCTCTCTATGGAAACGGTCCCCTCCCCTGTGTGTATATAAAAGTGACAGATCACAGGGTGGATCGTAATTCCAGACGTGGTGTCTACGCTGGGATGAGATTTCATTTAAAATACAACCAGAACCAGCCGTCCACGTCATGCAGATGACAGGTGCTCCAACCTCGACCCCTCCCACCTCTGCTTCTCCCCCCCGCCCTCCTACCCCCCCCCCCGCCCTCCTACCCCCACCTCCGCAACTGCTCTTGCATCCTAGCAACTTGCTGCATTGATAAAAGCAAAGAACAAAAAAGAAGAAGAAAAAAAGAAGAAATAAAAACTCAAAACAAAACAAAACAAAAACCCTGGTAAAGTGAGAAGCCGTGTCTTTGAGGAATTTTATTGCTGATCTTAGTTCTAACTAATTACAGTTTCCTCTACATTCCCCTTGCCCTAACTCTCCTTTTGGAAATCTAGAATCCGGACCTGCTTTGAAAGCAGAGAAGCGGTTTGAAATCCACCTGTTGCCGTGTTGTTTTGTGGGTTCTGACCGTGAAGCGTCATCTGGCTGCACACGTAGCCCCTTATGCTTGCCACACACTCGGTGCCTGCTCCCCATGTAAAGTCAAATTTTGCGAGTTTCTCCTTTCACATTCCTTGGACTCTTCTGCCATACCCTCAGTGAAACAACACAAAAGTTTCAGATTTCTCTGCAGCCTGCCACAAAAACAACTGAGCACCATCTAGTTATTAATACATTTGAGGGAAAGCTTTACACCCGTATTTTTCTCTGGATGCCTGAAACTCAACTATTCCTTTGGGCTATGACAGTAGGTCATCATACACCAGAGGTCTGGAGGTTTTAGTGGGAAACGGCTTGGATTTTACTCGTTTATGCATCCTATATTTATTGAGGACTTACTGTGTAGCAGGTATTGCCAGGACCCCCACGAGTTCAGAGAAAAGTAAGTTGTGGCCCCTGACCATACAGGGCACTCATGGTTTAGAATGGTAGGGAAGGTTGAGCACTGTGGCTCACGTCTATAATGATGTGCACTTCGGGAGGCTGAGGCGGGCAGATCATGAGGTAAGGAGTTGGAGACCAGCCTGGCCAACATGGCGAAACCCCGTCTCTATTAAAACTACAAGAAAATTTAGCCAGGCATGATGGTGGGTGCCTGTAATCCCAGCTACTCGGGAGGCCAAGGCAAGAGAATCGCTTGAACCTGAGAGGCGGAGGCTACAGTGAGCTGAGATCGTGCCATTGCACTCCAGCCTGGGTGACAGAGCGAGACTCCATCTCAAAAAAAAAAAAAAAAAAAAAAAAAAAAAAAAGAAAGAAAGAAAGAAAAATGCTACAGAAAGGAGCAGTCATGTCCACTCAAGACAGGAGAGGAGAGAGGAGAGCAAGAGGGGTTTCAGACAGAAAGGACGGATCTGACAGACAGAGCCAGGGATGAGAGGAACGGGAGGGAAGGAGGGCGATGGGAGGGAGGTGTCGGTGGGTGTGGAGGCAGCTCTGCACTGAGGTGCTCCAAAGGCCTGCGGAATTGGGAGTTTATTCCATAGGTAATGGGGAGATGTGGGGGGCTGCGGTCTCCTGACCCCTTATTCACAGATGAGGAAGCTGAGGCTGTGAAAAGTGACCTGCCGGGACCCCACAGGCCTAGGGTGGCAGAGTCAGGTGAGAACCAGGCCTGACGCTGGGCTCAGTGCTCCTTTCACTGGGCTGAGTTGATGACAAGGGGCCCGACAAGATCGGCTGGCTGTTCCTTGCCCTCCTCCCAGACGGCTGCTTCACTCTTGTGAAATTCCTATAGGTGAAGAGCTAAGAGGCCTTCTGAAATGACCAAATCTCTTTAAAGCCCATGAGCATGTGGAGGAACAAATGGAAAGCCACTGAGGGGAAGGACTTCAAGACCTTGTGCTCCCCATTTTAAGCCTTTTTGCAGAGATAGGCAATTGGACCTCCCTCCCTTCCTTCTTTCAGAGCTGCCTGGGCTGGGATTCTCTTGAGATTGGAGGCAACATGAAACTGAATCTGTGTTTTAATTCAAATTCATTCATTCATTCATTCATTCATTCATTCATTTGTTCATTCATTCATTTGTTCTGGTTTTTGTGAGAAGGTTTTTGTTGTTTTCCATTTCAGATAATGAGGCAGTAATGGAATTTATGCAGGTTGAGGGGTAGACAGAAACCTGAGCTTAACTCCCCTGTCTGCCTTATGGGCTCTGGGATGCCAGGGGGGCTCTGAGATGCCAGGGCGTCTTGTGAAGACACCAGACGTTGGTCTACTGGGACAGGGTTTCCCATCCTCAGCACTGTTGACATTTTGGGCAAGGTAATTCCTTGTTGGCCCTTGGGGTCTGCCCTGAGCTCTGGAGGAATTTAGCAGCATCTCTGGCATCTACCCATTAGATGCCAGTAGCACTCCCCTCTTCATTTGTGACCATCAAAAATGTTTCCAGACATGTCCTCTGGGGGCATGAGAACCACTTCCCTACAGTATGGGATTTAGAAAAAGAGATGATGAACCCTGCTACCTTGTTTTCTCTCAACTTCCTAGAAATCCTCTTACCCTGAGGGCGCCTCACTGGGACTGAAGAGTCTTGGTGTTGGTGGCTGTTCTTGGAGCCTGCCGTCCCCTCATCACACAGAGCAGGCTCATTGGATCCCACTGGTCCATCCTGGGTGGGCTTTGGCATTGTCCAGTGACTTCTGCTAGCCTGGATGGAGTGCCACACACAATGCTTCATAGACGTGAGCCGCTGTAAGGGTACATACAGTTCAGGGTGTCGTTTTCTAGAAACTTCAAGAAACAGTACATTTGCTTTACAACTTGAATGCCGCATCTGGTGGGGGACTGAAGAGAGGCTTGGACAGCAAGAAGATGATTAGTAGCAAAACCTCTGGAGTATCATTTCTAGCAAACAATGATTCCCTCCCTCTCACTGACGTGTGAGTGTGGTGTGTGGCTACACTTGCACTTCTCTCTGGCCTTGGTGAGCCATTGGTACCTTTCCTGGACTCGGCATAAGAATGTTGTTCAGGGATGTAAATGTCCTGTAGAGGGTACCTAGAGGGCCAGCATGAGAAGAAAAAGCTGATCAGTTTCACAAGTGAATAGAAATGGCTCATATTTATAAAGCTTATTTCCCCAAAGTGCCCAAAGCACTTACACTTAATAACATACTTATTTCCTCAACATCTGAGCATGGCAGTAAACTAAAAAGATAGATGAAAGAATTAGCAAAGCGTGAGAAAGCTTGATTTATAGGAGAGAAGTTTTACCGAGGAGGCAGGAGGGTCAGTTTTCATTCCTGCCTGGGTTGCTAGCATGGCTAGTTGATTCTCACGGACACCCAAATTCTCTAGTCCTCTCTCTCCTGTTTTTTAAAATGTAGATTGGTGTGCCTTCCCTATTTGTTTTTAATAAGGTTGATGTCAAGATAGCATTGCAAGAACTTGATAAAGTTGTATGTGAACACAGAATATTAGCGTCATCTTTCTTCCTCAGTTCTCTCTTATTTTCTCTGACTGATTTTATGTTTGTGACTTCTCACTTTTAGCAGGGTGTGTGTTTACCTCCTATTGTGTTTGTGGATTGTCAGTTTTTGTCTTGTAAGTCTGTCCAGTTTTGTTTTATATATTTGGAGTGTTGGGCATCTATAAATTGTTCATGTTATCATCTTGCTGCTAACCTCTTTATCCTAAATAATACTTCTCATAAAGTTGGCTTTACCTGATATAAAAATAGCTATCCCAGCTTTCTGTTGGATAACTTTAGCTTGCTGTATTTTTCCAGTCTTTTCTGTTTCAGAATTACTTTCTAAATGGTCTATATTTAAATTTTAAAAATTAAATCTAACAATCTTTGTGTTTTAACTGAGGACTTTAATAAACGAATGTAAAGATCCTTGACTCCTGATGTATTGGAATTATTTTCTACCATCTTATGTTGTGATTTCTATTTGCTCAGTTTTATGCCCCTTTTTTTCCATTTATTATTGTTTTTTCTTTTCTGCCATCTGCTGCATTGATCAAGTCTTCATTTTCATTTTCCCTGTATTTTACAATCTAACCATCTAAAGCTATTTAATATATAACTTTTATTCTAAGCATTGTTTTAGCCACATGCTGCAAGTTTTATGGGTTATATTTCCATTGTCATTCAGTTCAAATATTTTTAGATGCTTTTCTGTGATGAAGGGTAGCCAACTACGTGACTCCAATATATGCCATATGGCATAAGGATTATTTTGAGCTGATGACAGTTTCGGAAAAGTAGATACTATTGATAAATAAGCTCTTATCCTTCCCATATTTGCTAAGGCAGGACATGCATTTGTAAAGGTGTCTGTGCTCCTCTCTACCAGGAAGAACAGACCTAATCCCCTGACACAACCTAGACTTTTATTAGCCGGGAGGAGCCAGAGAAATCTACCTAACAAACTTTACTCACTAGCCCTTATCTTTCATTAATTCCCTCATATATTTACCTTCCTGCAGTTTGCCTCCCCTAAAAACTCAAAGTATTTTATCTTGTCTTGTCACTTCTCTAAAAATTTATTGCTCTGTTGCTAAGATGCTCTAGAATCCCAAGTTCTAACCACCCCTCAGAGTTCCTCATCCCTGAGTTATCCTGTGTGCATGCAGGATGCACTGGCCAACAACTTGTGTTTGCTTTTCTCTTGTTAGTCTGTCTTCTGTCGATCTAATTTACAGGGCCCCAGCTAGGAGGGTGGAGAGAAGCCAGGAGAGTAGAGGGAAAAAGTTTTTTCACTTTTCCTTTTGTAAATCTGGTGATGATACATTATCTTAGTTTTCTTTTATCTGACAATGTCTTTACTTCCTTTTTACTATTGGAGAATAATTTTTCTGGATATAGAATTCTGGATTAGCAGAGCTTTTTCTTTTCTTTTGGCATTATAAATGCATTGCTTCCTTATCTTCTCCATTCCATTTTTGATAAGAAGCATATAATCATTCAATTTTTTCCCTGCATCTAATATATCATTTTTCTCTGGTTGCTTCAAAATTTTCTCTTTCTCTTTGACTTTCAGTCGTTTGAATATAATGG